ACCTTTAGGAATCCAAGAATTCATAATTTGAATTAGGAAATGATGCACCACTGCAGTACCAGCCTGCTGTAGCCTATGCATACAGAACATACGGATCCTCTATAATCCTAGGGCCTGTTTACTGCTCAAAGAAAACAAACTGCAAAGGTCTGAGTTAATAGAGCCAGTGAACAAGGCCATATTTACCACAAGACCTGGTGTCACAGAAGTATCCCACTATGTATTTGCAAGACTCACCAGATGTGCTTTATAATTAAGCATATTTTATACCTGTCTACTTCCCACCAGTGAGTTTTTAAATATCTATATTCAACTCAGTTTCAATTGCACTGCTTTCTTAATTATATATTAGATAAAATATTCATTGCAAATCCCTATCATCATTTGAATAATAATTACACAAAACTCTGGCTAACACTCCCTGGCAAATCCTATCTCCCAGGTTAATAATTGCATTTATGTATTGTATTATCACAACACTCCATTTTGAGTTATATTTTCTGTACTTTATGATGCCAGATAGCAACTGGTAGGCAGCATATGAAAGAACAGGTATAAGGAATAGGCTGAGATTTTGTCATTAGCAAAGTATGTATTTATTAGACATCACAATGTACCTTAAATAACTATATATGAAAAAACAGCATATATTTAACATGTCCAATTTTCATACAGAATTTGCAGATATATAATATTATGTACCTATAACAAGACATGAAAGTAATCATTAAAAGCCAATGCCAGTGAGGTAATTAAAACCACCCATATTCAGTTTGGTTTTCTATAGCACTTTATCCCAAAGTATTTCACAAAGCAATGACTGAAATACTGGTAAAGGCTAGCTCCATTTTAAATGCCAGTGGGCACATTTACACATGCAATTAATACGCAGCAATAAACTCCACTGCATCTTGCACCAGAGTTTATTGCTTCCAAGTGCAGTTTGAACATGCACCTGGGACCACAGCACATTGAATCAGGGCTGAGCAGCTGTGGATAGTAGGGGGCCCAAGGGGTCAGCTTGCCAGCCCAGGGCTACTCCAACCCAGCCAAATGTGCTGTGGAGGGACTGGCTGGGGCACAAGGGTTGTTCAGTGTTGAGCTAGTGGGCTGGCAGCCCCTGCACTGAAGCACCCTTGTGTCCCAGCCATGCCTGTCAGAGTCTACATGTGTGTTGGTGCAGAGTAAAAAACTCTGCCATTGGATAGTACTTAGGTTTACAAGTACTAACCACTGGTGGAGTTCATTAATTTACTCCATCCTAATAGCACTGCACGTGTAGATACTGAGATGTTTACTGAGGAGCTAATTAGGCAACTACAATAAACATCTCATGTAGATGTGCCCAATGCGTGTGTACAAATTTGCTGGTGCTGCTGCTGCTATGTATAGTCTTTAGGGGATATTTTTTAAAGTTCTTAATGTTGGCCTGAACATTAATCTGCCCTATTAGAATCAACATGTTAGGCAAACTCAAAATGTTTTTTAAAATCCCTGCCTTGATAGAAAAGGCATTTTTTTTCTGTGTGATTTTACTCACAGGCTGATTGCATTATCTTCATTCTGGTCATTTCAAGTGCTTTTGGTTTAGAATCCACTCCCCTTCCATATGGTAATATGTTTCTTTGTGATACATTTTTTTTCCATTTCATATAAGGGTTTGTATGAAGGTCTGAATCCAGGGAAGAAGAATATCAAGTTCACTGATGGCTTTGTAGATTCCCTTTTCACCAAGCTGTCAATAAGATAAAGAGGTCAAGAGACGAATCTGTGTTGTTAAATAAAGCCCCTTTCAAGACAACCTTATCCCAGTTTTACCTTGTTAAACATTCTCTTTATTTTTGGGACAGCTGGAGTCACTTTGGTGGATGGTGCACATGGAAGCTGAAGGAAGGAGAAAAATATCAGAAGAATGTGCTTTGCTGAGTCCTGAGTAAGCATATGGCAGCAGGAAAAAATCATAGGGTGTCCTTAGGCCAATTAGTAACACGTGTATATTAGCAGCCTTTCAACCATACTGGCTACCATAACTTACCACAGCTTGTTGAAAAGATGTGATCACACAAATGAATATCTTAAAATAGATAAGTCATTAAAATGTGTAGAGAGGACCACTTGCATTAAACAACCTCCCTCAACAAACCTCTGCAAAATACTGCATCAATTCTGTTCCCCTACAGAGACACTTAAATGGGTCTAAAAATTCTTACAAAGTTCATTTACATTTCTATGTGATGACTTTCTTACCTGTTCTTCATATTTCTACTTCTAAGTTATAGCCCAAGCCATAGCCTTATTCAGGCAAAATTTTCTGTTGAAGTTGCTGAAACTAATCATAAAACCATAGAAAACTAGGGTTGGAAGGGACCACAGGAGATCATCTCGTTCAACCCCCAGCTCATAGCAGGACCATCCCCAACTATATCATCCCAGCCAAGGCTTTGTAAAAACCTCCAAAGAGGCAGATTCTGCCACTTCTCTGGGTAACCTGCTTCAGTGCTTTACTGCTCCAAAACTGGACACAGTACTCCAGATATGGCCTCATCAGTGCCAGATAGAAAGGAAAAATCATTTCCCTTTCATCTGCTGGCAATGCTCCTACCAATACACCCTAATATGCCATTAGCCTTCTTCACAACAAGGGCATCTGTTGGCTCATATTCAGCCTACTGTCCACTGTAACCCCAAAGTCCTTTTCTGCAGAGCTGCTGCTTAGCCGGTCAGTCCCCAGCCTGCACCTATACTAAGGATCTTTTCGAACTCCCACTCATTTCTCCTGTCCCTGAACCCTTCATGAAGCCATATATAAGGTTCAGTTTCTGGTATTACATTAGCCACATACTGATACTGGAAACATGTTATTGCTGCCAGATCAAAGCAAAATTAAGTGGAGTGGAGTGGAGTGGAGTGGTGCAGGGAATTTATTTAATTTAAATCATATTATAACAACTAAAGACTAGAATTCAGTAAGATGCCTGTAAAGGACATTGTTTTATTAGTACAAATAATCAGCAGTCTACAGTGAGGTTCCTGGCAGGCACCAGCAGAGGGACTTATGGCAGCAGTGTTCAAGAAACATGAGAGCAGGGGTATGCCTACATTTCAGTCCACAGGTCAGTAAAGCTGCCTTTAAAGTAGTTAGTTTGGGTACTGGCAGCAATTTAGCCTTAGAAATATGGAGTTCAGTGTGAGCTGAAAAAAATGCCGGAAAGCCAGGTAAAACCTGGGAGGTTAGCTAGTGCTGAGCATTGTGTTGCTGTAGCTATGAGGACCTGAGCTAGCTGGTTCAAAAAGAGCTCAGGTATGTCAGCATCAGTTGCAGTTACATTTTTCATTGCTGTGTAGATGTACAGGAAACCCTCGCTATTCGCAGGTTTGGCATTCGCGGTTTCAAATATTAGCAAATGCTGAACCTACATTTTAAATACACTTTACACACTTACAGGAACTCCTCTGGAGCTCCATGCTTGCTGCCGCCGAGCTCCCACCACCACCACCAGGCTTCTGCCGCTGCCATCACACTCCCACCGTCGCTGCCGGAGCCATTTCCCACCCCCCGCCCAGTCGCTGGGGCACTGTGTTCATGAATGCAGTGCCTTATTCGCAGATTTTGCCATTTGTGGGGGATACGAGAACATATCCCCCGCAAATGGCAAGGGTTGCTGGTGTATGAAGTGATAAGTCCTGTTAACTTTGACTCTTCAGTGAAATCTAAGCCAACAAGCAAATCTGCTTGAATTAAAAACATCAGTGAGAGTATTCTGGGGGTGAGGTACTGCTCGACAGGAGGATAAGAAAATCAGGTTTTCTGTTTGGAAGGATGAAGACCTGAACAGCTGAAATTAGATAATGTTCAACTCACTGAATTATCCCTGTTGGTCTTCCTCTGGGTCCTGAAATGTCCCCTTTAGTGTACCTGCATATTATCTAACACAGGATTGTGAGGAAAGGAAAGGAACAAAACAGACTGCAGTGATCTAGACCCACGTAGGCCTTTTCTGTAATCTTGTCTAGGGGTTCTCTATGTTACCATAATCATAATAAAACAATAAATATATGTACAGAATGGAGGGGATTTCCATACCTCCCCTTCCAAATCCCTCCTTCCCCCCCAGCCTCTGATGCTACATGTCAAGATGTTTTTAAGCCTTCCTCAGAGGCATTTAGTGTTGGCTGCAGCCAAGGCTACGGATTTTGACTGTGTTGTCAGTGCTCCTGCTGGGACTTAAACCTGCGGGTTCCTGACTAGCGGGCCTTGCCCCTCCACTCAGGGTCGGATCAGTCACCATATTTGGTGGCAGGAAGGAACTGTACTCCATTGTCAGATCACTATGGACTGTGGGGGGTTTATTAGGCCTCTGCAAAGCTTCGGGTGCTGATTCAATTCAGAGGAGATTTGGCCCAATTTGGTGGCCGAATCTCTGAGTCCAAATCCAATCAAGGGACCAATTAAAAGGTCTGAATTGATTCAAAGCTCTTGAAATTGATTCAGAAAAAATTGAGGGATCTTCAGAGATTCAGGCAGTCCCCACTTGTTGCCATAGGGAGCCGGACCTGGACTCCATGCTGGTGTATAGGGGTCGGGGTGG